TTATTTTATTTGCTGAAAACAGTGACACGTCAGACAAATTTTTATGTAATATGCAAAATGTAATTAGTGAAAATAATTTGAATTTTATTTTTGTAATAAGTGCTATGTTCGTGCCCCTTGATTGTAATTTAATGTTGCAATGTTTGGAAAAGGCATGACGAATCATATTGTTAATATGATATATTTGACTGAACCAAATCAATCACATTAAAAACCAACAAAATTGCTATTTGGACCTTTTACTAACGAATATTTATGAAGATTTTTGTGTGACCGAACCATTACATACATTGTGGAAAAATTAAGCGTTTCATAGAGCAATTGAATATTCTTTATTTGTGCATGAAAACCAAACTGCCAATACGAAAGATCCAACGACTGCCAATACAAATTAGCAGACTATTGAAAATAAAAGTTAAATTAAGCAGTGTACATTAGCAAACAATTTTTAGGAATGAAGGAAATGTCGAAATTGGGTTCTTTAAGAGTATTGAGGTAAATGCATATTCGTAATCTGCATTAAAAATGGAACCCAAACCCATAATTTAATCAATTTTAGTACACTGGAACTATTTTAAATAAGTACGTTTGCAAAAATCACCTTATTAGCGCCCCTCGGTGTCACTTTGTATGGGAGCGAGCTGTCAGTTTGTCAGTTTAGTGTCAAACAGTGAAGTTATTATTTTGCTTTAAATCTTGATTTAAAAACCGAGATAAAAGTATGTGGGTTCGAAAAAAATACCGCTGTACTCAGAAAACGAAGCTCTGTCAGAAGAGATAAAAAAACCGATATATTTTTTTCAAAATTAAAGAACCCAATTGCTGTAGTAGTCTTCTAACCAATTTTAACAGAAATAATTTCGGAAGAAATACTCTTGAAGAAAAAAGCAAGTCACGGAAACACAACAAATCCATCTGACAACATGGAGGCCATCGTGTTTCACAATAGTGTCAAATACCCTAAGATCTGGCTATTTTCGGAACGAGGACGACGCGTACATACTGAAAATCGATATTCGACGCCATTTGTAGGGTATTTGACATTTCTTCTAAAATTGGAAGCCACCATCTTGAATTTTAATATGGCGTCGGACATCGATTTCCGGCCTCTAGATGTCACCCCGATTCCAAAAATAGCCACATTTTTCTGTATTTGACAGTATTTCGTACTATTTCTGAACAAAAGCAGCCATCTTAGATTTTAAAATGGCGTCAAACATCGGTTTCTGGCCTCTAGGGGCACGTAATGACCTTTAAAACCGACGCAGGCAATGGCTGTTATTAAATTAATTCCATTAACTACTGCTCTAATTACATTAATTACACAATGTAGAACATTAACTTTTTAAGTCCATTAATTACAGTCGACTTTTCGTAATTCAAGTACATTTAATACATTTTCAATACCTTTAATTGGGTTGTAGAGGGGTATTGAGGTAAATACATATTCGTTATCTGCATTATAAATGGAATCGAAATCCAAAATTTCTTCAATTTTGGCACACTGGAACTATTTTAAATAAGTACGATTACATTAGAAAAAAAAAAAAATCACCATATTAGCGTCCCTCGGCGGAACTTTGTATGGGAGCGAGCTGTCAACGAATAGATTTAGTGTCAACGATCAAAAATTTAAATCTTGATTTAAAAATCGAGACGAATATCTACGTATATCTAGATCGTTGTGCTCAGAAAACGAAGCTCTATCAGATGATGTATTAAAATCGGTATATTTTTCGAAGTTGAACAACCCAATTGCATGAAGTACGGATAGTTAATTTTAATTACTTTAAGTACTTTTTATTGCATTTTAACTTCAACGCACCGGTTCTTTGTATTGCGTGCCCCTCGGAAAATACACACATTGATGGGTATTTGACAGTATTTCCCACTTTTTCTGAAATCGGAAGCCGCGATCTTGGATTTCAAAATGTCGTTGGACATCGATATCTGGCATTTAGATGACATGCCTAAAGGGTGATACGGTCAAAATTTGGTCAAGGGAAAACGCGTGTAAATCGGTGAAATCGTTTATTTAAAAAATCAAATTAAATTTCTTTTTCAAGTTCAATTAGTATAAAATTCAGGAAAAATATTCAGTTAGGCTTCCACTTTTCCAAATCCGAATTGCCGGGCCTTACGCTTGACCCCTGCCATCAGATTTTGTACAGCCACCTTGTCCACCTTCTTAGCCGCAGAAAGCCAGTTTGCCTTGAACTGCTGCTCGCCCTTAGCAGTTTTTTTGGTCTTCTTTAGGTTCCGCTTGACAATAGCCCAGTATTTCTCAATTGGGTGGAGCTCTGGCGTGTTGGGAGGGTTCTTGTCCTTGGGAACCACCTGCACGTTGTTGGCGGCGTACCACTCCATGGCCTTTTTACCGTAATGGCAAGATGCCAAATCCGGCCAAAACAGTACGGAACAACCGTGTTTCTTCAGGAAAGGCAGCAGACGTTTATTCAAACACTCTTTCACGTAAATTTCTTGGTTGACAGTCCCGGAAGCTATGAAAATGCTGCTTTTCAAGCCACAGGTACAGATGGTTTGCCAAACCAGATATTTCTTTGCGAACTTTGACAGTTTCATGTGCTTGAAAACATCTGCTACCTTTCCCCTTCCTTTTGCCGTATAAAACTCCTGTCCCGGAAGCTGCTTGTAGTCGGCTTTGACGTAGGTTTCGTCGTCCATTTCCACGCAGTCAAACTTCGTCAGCATCGTCGAGTACAGCCTCCGGGATCGCGCTTTGGCCGTCGTATTTTGTTTATCATCGCGATTTGGAGTCACTACCTTCTTGTAAGTCGATAGTCCGGCTCGTTTTTTGGCTCGATGCACGGTTGTAGACGATACACCCAGCTTATTTGCGGCATCTCGGAGAGAGAGGTTAGGGTTTCGCTTGAAACTACCGGCAACTCTCTTTGTCGTCTCAGCGGCTCCGGTTTTCGATTTCCCCCCGATCCAGACTTCCTGGCTGTCGACAAACGTTCCCCAAACACTTTAATTACATTTGTAACGGTTGATTTGGCAACTTTTAGCGATTTTGCCAACTTTGCGTGCGAGTAGCTCGGATTTTCGCGATGCGCGAGCAAAATTTTGATACGCTGCTCTTCTTGCTTGGACGGCATTTTGACAACTGAAGAGTGAATTCCAAAATCAAAATAGGAGCAACATTCTACACACACACACACCTTCAAAATGAGGGGTGTTCAGGTTTTTTAAATGCAAAATTGAAAGAAATACGTCAAGTTGATATTGACCAAATTTCGACCGTATCACCCTTTATCAATATTTATGGGGATTTGACAGCACGTCCTTTTTTTTCTGAAATCGGAAGCCGTAATCTAAGACTTCAAAATGGCATCCGATATGGATTTCCAAACTCTAGATGTCATCCAATAAAAAAAAATTAAAGGTTTTTGCCCTAGACACGATCGCAGTATGACTTAGAACTTCGCAAATTGACGTAGGGGACATGGCTCTAATGTTGACCTATGGATTTAAGATTGGGCTTATCGCTAAAGATCTGCTATTTATCAATTTTATCTAGATGAACGCGTCATTGGGACGGTACTAATGGATATTTTTGGTCGCAACTGAAAATTTAGTCGATTGCTGAATTTATTTATGGCCCCATGGAATGGAAAATTTATGGAAATGACTCTAATGTTGGCATATGGATCTAAGATTGGGCCCATCGCTAAAAATCTGCTATTCATCAATTTTATCTATATGAACGCGTCATTTCGAAGGAACTAATGGATATTTTTGGTCGCTATTGAAAATTTAGTCGATTGCTGAATTTATGTATGGGCCCAAATTAGGAGCATTTAGGCCGACATTACATCCATTTCCCCTATTTCATTGTTTCGGTGATGGTTCAATGTTGGTTCAAGTATTTTTCCTGAAATGTTAGAAATTATGAAAATTCAAATGTTGTTTAGGACCCCACATTCTAGCCGTTATATATCTTGAAGTAGCACCCCAGTATAGTCCACAAAGACGCCATGCATGATGTGGGATAAAACAATTGCCAAAAAACTACGTTAATTTAAAAAAAAAAAAAAATGTAAGTAAATATTCCTCTTGTGGACGTTCTAAAATGAGCCATGAGAAAATTAGTTAAAAGTGAGCTATTTTTGAAACCATAATAAAACCAAAATTATGTTAATCATTAAAACAAATATTTTTCTTTATAGTTATGAGCTTTGAGAAGAAGTTCTTAGGCTTTCTTAAACTAAATTAGCGTCGGTAAAAATAGATCCAACATGATTCAATTTTGAATAGGTCCAACCAAAATGTATTACTCTACCTTACGTGTCGAACGTATGCCGTTCTAAAGGTTGTTACAAATTTATTTGAATTTCATACCTCAAGTTGAAGGACCTTCTCCAATGTCCCAATCAGTAGATGGTGGCGCATTACCTCTGACGGCTTTCATGTTGGCTTCCCAAGTTACAAATTTGGTTTTATTAGAGTTCTGTAGACCATGTATTGGACTTGTGACATACTTTAAAACCTTGATAAAACTTGCAATGTTATTTGGGTTGATAACACCGAACTCTCTCTGCAGTGGTCTTGAGACGTTCCGGTACCTCTATATATGCAATTTGTTTAACATCCGAAGTCCATCCTTTTCTATATATTTATATATCCGTTGCTACACGATCCTACCATCTTCAGGGAAGGCCGACCCCGTACAACGACCGTCAATCATTAGTCAACCATGGTCCTAAACCTGGCGGCGGCGGAGGAAACGGATTTGCACCGAATTTTTCACCGCCCAAGTATCATCCGTGGGAAAACTGGAAACCAACACCGGCCGAAACACACGTCGGACTGATGAAGGACGTACCGCTGACCAGAAACGAGCCAACCAACTTCATTCAACCGGCACAGCAACAGGGCGCAGTGATGATGGTCTACGGACTCCATAACAACACAGCCAACACCGATAAGCTATTCAAAAAGAGGGAAGACCAAAGAGAGTACCGCCCGCCATGGTTCAGATGAGAGGTGCCATCGGAGTCGAACCAGTCGAACGCAGCATCCAGCAATTGAACAACATTCTAATCGGAAATGATGGTAGCAAAATTCAGATTGCATTTTCTAAGCAGAACTACTTGTCAAAGTCCACCAACCTCTACAGCCTGCCGGACAATTCGATCAGCTTCAAGGTCTACAGCACCTCCAAGAACAATCGCTTCCCAGGCCAGCAAAAATCGCATTCTCCACTTCTTCAGTACCCCACCCGTATGCTGTCCGAGGATCTGCTGCTGATTGCATTCACCACCATGGACTGTCACCCGTCGCAAGTGCGAATGTTTCCGCTAAAATCGGAAAGTGCCTTCTCCGGATTGGTCGAGTTCCCGAGCGTAGCCCTGGCGGTGAACGCCATCATGAATGGGAACCACTCCTCCTCCAAGACGATGAACGGTGCGTGGAGCAATGGTAACACGTAAGCTTGGAAGGAGCGGAAGCTTATTTTTCTGAGAAAAGAAAGGATTTTCCTTTTTTTCGGTGTAGTTAATGTAAGGATTCGTAATTATAATTTCTTATTGTGTTAGTTGGAAGTGCAAAAAGGCAGGAGAACAAAAATTATTTGTTGAACTATTTGAGATTTTGCCAAGACGGTCCTCCAACATTATATGTTGGACGATGGTATGGTTGGTGTAGCAGGTACCGCCATGGATGTATTCGAGCAGTTTGAATGGTCGGATGGTATAGTTTTTGTTTGGTTGTTGACTTTCCGATTAAAACTCAAGCACCGCTTGTCGTGATCGGACCGAGATTTCCAGCATCGGCCACGGCTACACGAATTAGCGATGCAGCTACCACGGCTACGGCTGCTTCCAATGCTACTGCTGCTGTTGTTCCTTCTGTGTATTGGAGAACGCTTGTGCAAAAAAAAAAAAAAAAACTAGAGAAAAAAACGGATACGAATCTCAAATTCAAAAACAATTTGATTGGATTGCTGCAAATGCTGGCGTTTATCGAAGACTTCATATCAAGATTACTGGCAACTTTGCCAGAATCCAAAGGAAGGATACAGCAGCGCAACACTTCTGCTGTCTGCTGCCCTGAACAAGTGCGTCGTGCAAAGATTCAAAGGTCCCTCCAAAATGAATTTCATAAGAATTTGTAAATTGAATTGTAATTATAGCCAAAACACAACTTTCTAGAGACCACTCCAGACACCAAATGTCTAAAACTAGTCTAAGGCTACTTACAACGTATATTAGTTATAAGTCAGGTACCACAGTAGGAATTTTGTCTTGCTAGCAGTGTTCGGAAAATCATTCTCAAATCTCATTAATTGAGCCTCCCTTCGCGAATATTCTTGCTTACGAATGCTTGAGATTCTCATGCATATATTCACGCACTCACACTCACACACTCACGCACTCATAAAAACCACTCAAACGTCAATTATTGATACCATGCTTGAAGGGTGTTACGATCAAAATTTGGTCTACTTAAACTTGACGCATTTCTTTTAATCGAGCATTTGAAAATTCTGAACAACCCCTGGATGAAAGATCTGCAAAACGGAGTAGCTGGAACATGATTCAACACACGCTAGACAACTTCTGGTGACGCTGGATCAAAGAATATCTGCGGACTATTAGCAGGAGATTAAAGTGGTTTCATAACGTCAATACTATGAAATAGGGTGATTCGTCTTAGTTGATGAGAATGCACGGAACCGGTGGTACAGGGGACGAGTGGTATGAACATACCCAGCTTAAGATGGTACAGTACGAAGGGTGTATGTGTGCGGTATTTTGAGACGACCAGTCGTCAAACTAGCCCGATGTCAATTATATAATGTCTGGCCCAACCGGCTTATTGGTATTAGTGAAATGTGGATATGTTTAGTGGTGTTCGTATTTCATCGCAATGTTTATCTTTTTACACGAAACAGCTGTTTTCTGTGACGACACGTCTGCCATTCGCAGTATGGAATGTTGTGCTGCCGTGACATCGTCATTCGCTTGTTCAGCAATGTTTACAACATTTCTGCTTCTAACACCAGCAAGCTGCCTGTTGTTCCAGACCTTTCATGATTGACATAGAAACTAGCCGTGCTAGATGTAGATCCGAGCTGTGAGGCCGAAACGATAGTTCTGGCGACACGAGGGGGGGAAGGTTAAGAACGAACATCCCTCGAACAGAAGTACACGCTATTTCAAAACTACCCAAACTTGTGTAGAATCCACCCAGATCGGTCTAAACTGAACGCATCCAAAAATGGGTAAACTAAGTTGGAAGTGACAAGTTGACATGAATTCGATCGATTTTGTTCATTTGTCAACTTGTAACTCCCAACATACTTTACCCATTTTTGGGTGGATTCAGTTTAGACCGATCTGGTGGATTCTACCCAAATTTGCGAATGCGCTACTTACTCACACGCATACAAGTAAGGAACAATCATCTTGTGCAACAATAGGCCATAGAAGTGAGTTGAAGACGGGATCTAAAAAGACGAAGTTTTGAACTTAAAGTAAGTTAAATGTAAAACTTCTACTAATATTATATTAAAATTATATCTTTCTACCTTAAATCTAGATCTTAGCCTAATTGTTGGACAAGATGATTGTTCCTTACTTATATACGTGTGAGTAAGTAGCGCATTCAAAGCTGCACTTACGATCGAAATACCCTGCTTCTTTTCGAGGGGTATTCGTTCCTAATAGAAAGTAACGTTTGCATTTAAAAAAATGGACAAAAATTGTCGATTTTTCACCCGCACTGACGAAACTACCCATGCAGCATCAATCATAGTAACCCATGAGTCAGTAGACAACATTTGACAGCTCTATCAGTCGAACTCTAACCGTGATGGCAAAAACAGTGAAGCAACTCCGTTCAGAAGTGTGCGCGTTCAAAGAACCGCACCCCGCCCTGTCGAAAACGGACATCGTGCGGCACTTTGTGGACGCCGGATACGCCCGTTCCGGCATCTACAACATCTTGGCACTATTAGACAACAATCAGAGCATCAAAAGAAAGCCCGGTTCCGGACGGCCGGCGACCCTGAACGACAAGAAGCATCAAAGGATGTTGAAGAGGAAGACCGAGGGAAAAGTGGCTACATCGCTGCGTGCGCTTGGCCGGGAGATCGGTGCAACCGGCAAAATAGTGAAAAAGTACCTGGCGAACATGAACATTAAACTGATGCAAAATTTGACTTTTTCGCTCCACAGTGCTTAAATGGTTTCAAATCGGGTCCTGATTAGACTCCCAAAGTTACAACTCATTTGGTTAGAAACAGACTTCGCACAAGCCATTTGAAGTTGACATGTAAATTACTATGGGAAATCTCAACTTTTTGTTTATTGCCTTCTAGTCTTTTTCCATATTGAGCTGCGAAACAGTTTGATAGCCATTCTTATAGAAAATACAACTTTGCTGAAGATCGTTTCTATGCAAAACGAGACAGGAAAAAGTTATTAATTATTTAAGAGATTGGTAATCTTATGGCATGATCAAGCAGCTGTTTTGTGAGCAACACTGTATGTTGCAGTGTGACATAGTAGCCATGATTTTTGTGTCCTATTCAACGCCCCAGAAACACCAATGTTGCCTGCTGAGCAGTTGATTGAGCATGATCATAAGACATCAGCGCATTGAACCATTGATAACTTTCGATCCCTGAATTTAATCAAAAAGTGGTCTTCAGCAACGTTGTAGCTGGGAAAATTTCCTACAAGTATAGTTGAAAGATTTTGAAGCAGACCGATATGGTGAATTATTAGATAGACATGAACAAAAATCTTGGTTTTATCATAGTAATTCCCATACAAACTTCAAATGGTTTGTGCCATCTCAGTCTCTCACCAAATGGGTTCAAATTTTGAGAGGTTAGTCAGGATCCGATTTGAAATCGTTTAAGTATTGTGGAGCGAAAATTTCAAATTTTGCATCACTCTAATGAACATACATGTCAGGAAGCGGAAGTCACGTCCACTGGTTTCGGAGCTGCAGGCAATGACGCAGCGGCAGCGGCTGAATAAGATGGTCAACTCGTTTTTCCCGGCGAATCGCAACGTGGCGGTGGTGATGGACGACGAGACCTATCTCACCCTGGATGGCAACGACTGGCAGAGCACTTCGTATTTTACTTCCCCCACGAAGGAAGTAAGCTCCGAGGTGAAGTTCATTTCACACACCAAGTTCCCCAAGAAGGTGCTGCTGTGGCTGACAATCAGCGAGAAGGGGATGTCAAAGCCACTCTACTTTCGCTCCGGACTGGCCGTAAACGGGGAAATTTATAGTACGAAATGCCTGCCGGAAGTTGCGTCGTTCATCAAGAAATACCATAAGGGCGAAGACGCGGTGTTCTGGCCGGATCTGGCGTCGGTCCACTACTCGAAGCGATCGTTGGAGGATATGGAGCGGCTGAATATCGATGTGGTACCCAAGTCGGCGAACCCACCCAACGTCCCCCAGCTGCGTCCCATCGAGAATTTCTGGGCCAACCTGAAGCGTAAGATCTACTCCAACAATTTTGTCGCGAAAACTGAGGAGGAATTGATAAATAAAACGAAGAAAGAACTCAAAAACATGCCTACACGCATGTTTTCGTCCGTCATGGCGAATGTTCCGGTTAACTGCCGGAAGGCCGTTCGCAAGGGCGTAGAATTGTTTTGCAAGTAAGCTTAAATAATTACCTTCCATGGGAAATTTATCAAAAGAAATAATCTGTCTTAGCTTTTTTTTATCACCATCCGAAAAAAAACATACATCTACCCTAATGGATTATTGGGTAATCGTTATGCGTTTAGAATGCTTTTTTTGTGGTACAACAGAAGTGCAATAAATGCATTTTAGGCGATTTTAGATCATCAAAATGGCATTGTTTGACCGTTCAGAACCACTTTGAATGATTCTAGCAGGCTGCGATCAAGAATGTATCGATTATTTTAATTAATAATCGATTAGTTCTATTAATCGAGAAGTGATTGGGCATCCCTATGCATGAGCTGGGGTTTTGTTTACGTTCACTGTGCGGGAATGTTTACTCTTTCCCCTGGTCATTTGAAGAGGCAGATCATTTGTGATGAGTAAAGTATATTACCTACCTACATACGTCCTTCATCTTCATAGGAAATGGTCTGTGTTTGTTTATTTCGACAACCACAGGGAGCGAATTTGAGTAAAATACATGATACTATTTGCTGCTCACTCAGTACTTTAGGGACCATCCATAAATGACGTATAATATTTTTGACTAAATTTAGACCCCCTCCCTCCTCGTAGGGTATTTTGCTATACCAGAGAAAACAGAATTTATAACCACGCGTCTCTTTTATTTTCCATGATTATGGATTACATATTACTCAAGCAATTAAATTTTCAATTTTGCAGGTCCACCTCGCATGGATAACGCTGCCGGCCCAAAGCAACAGTAGCCATTCAAAGTCAATCCAAAATGACGAAATTATTCGAAGATACT